TCCGGCGATGCCCTGGAACTCAAGATCCAAGAGCTCTCCCCTGAGATGAGTGATGTAGGCAGCACCTATGAAGAAGCACTCCATCTTCAGCAGCAACACCAGCAAGTTCTCCAGAAACTTCAGGTAGAAGCCTCTTCGTCACTTTAACTTATCGACTGAATGGTTAACTATATTTACGTATCTTTTATTCGTAGAACAAGCAGAGTCCTGTGGAAGAACTGCTTAGCCAAGCTGATGAGCTTATCGCCAACCAGAAACCCAAGGCACAAGTAAGTCGAATTTTACCGTGTTTTTGTTTTACCAATTAGCTTTTTTTATGCAAACACACTCGCCCTTTTTTTTTTTTTTTTCTCGTTGAACTCGTTTTTATGCATTCGTTATGAAGCGGTTTCGCGATGCTTAATTGAAAAGCGGAAGGGGCAATATCATCTCCCAGATACATAGGATCCAAAGCTTCGGGCAGGGCCACGTTTTGAATCCCGAAATACGACAGAGGTAATTAAATGATCATGTCGTTTAACAGCTGAGACTGTGATTCCGACTGTGGTTTACAGATGATTCAAATAACACTGCCAACGTTTCTGAACAAAATGATCCGGTCTAATTTTGATATAGAATCCTGTGGCATGTATGATATTAGGAGATATTTTCTATCGAAGTAATTATGTGATTACACTGACTCTTTCGTAGGTGTTTTTCTTTTTTATTTGCTCTTTGCTTTGATATTAGGAGATGATTTTCTGTCAAAGTAATTATGATTTTCTCGTAGGTGTTCTCTGTTTGCTTTTTGCCTATATTGTTTTTTTTTTTTCGTTTATTTAATTTCTTGTGTGTGCTTCTGCAACCGCTGTGTACCTGTCAGCGGGCTGAGGACTAGTCAAGCTGCTTAGACAGCTTTTTTCCTCAGCTCCTACCATATTTATATGGTAAATAAAGCTATTATTATTATTATTATTAAAAAAAACTTTTAGTCGAAGAAGCAGACACGGAAGGGAACGTCTCAATTCCAGCTAGCGTGCGCACTTACATCCTTCTAAATAAAATAATCGTCTACGCAAAAAAGAAAAAAAAAATGGTAATCGAATTTGTAAATCAGTGCTACTCAGCCGGTAGTTCAAATGCCAGACCATTGAAAAGTATGTCCTTTCGGTTCTTCTGTGTATGTTCGAAAGTGTAGCACCCCAGATAAAGTAAAGATTAATGATAATAAGTTATTAATATTTGGCCTGGATGCGACGTTTGAGTACAGTGCATCACGCTTTCAAAATGCACGACAGAAAGCGTTCTGACGAAGACCGCAGATAGAAACAAACGAACACCAAGTTTGTGTCCCCCCAACACACACACACACACACACACACACACACACACACACACACACACACACACTCCAGGCACGTACAGTGCACCCCAAACTTAACGCCGCCACTGCGTTCCCAAACATCGAGCTCCTGTCGGCTACTTACTATTAAATTTGTCACCAAAACGTTGGGGATGCCTTCTCAGGATGGGATAGAAATCGGGAACCCAAACATTCTTCGGATAGTTCAATCGGTCGCCGCAGGGACTGTCAGAAACGGCAAATGCCGTGGCGGCGTTAAGTTTGAGGCGCACTGTACATACTCTCTTTAGAGAGATGTCAGCAGGTATGAGATCTGCACGGAATGTATCTTCATTTATTATTCTATAATATATAGGCGCCCTAGTCGCCTTCAAAGTACTCTCTTTGGGAGCTCACATACTTATGCCAGCGTTCCTTCCACTTTTCAAAACATCCTGCGAAACTCTCAGGATCGCCACCAGCAGCATCGTCGTTTTCTATTTGCCTTTCGACTGCGATTTCAGCTTTGAGAAGAGCCAGCAGTCGCAGGGAGCCATGTATGGGCTGAAGGGTGCTGGCATACCTGGGTGACGCAGTGTTTGGCCAGAAAACTTTGATGAAGCTGCCAGTCATCACCCACCCAGTCGTTTTCTCCTTACGGATTCTCTCAGCCGTAACAAAATTTTATTTGAGCATGACTCACTGAATCATCCCCAAAAGCCTTTTCAATAATTTGGACCGTGTCTGCTGATTAGTATTGAAGTATGAAGCAAAACGTGGTGCATATTAGGTGATCAACTCGCTCAGTCATAGTAAATCCCATTATCACACAACGCTTCGCGTGATTCAATAGCGTCTGACTGGCGATTGAACAGACAAAACGCGAAATGATCGTTCACCCACGTGCAGCAGGTCCCAGTAGAGATAATAAAGATGGTTGGCTACCTTCCGGACAGACCTCCGTGTGCATATATCGGTGTATACAGTGGGCTGCACAGCGAGCAATCCCGAATGCTTCATCGCAGGTTTTTAGAGCTTCTTCGACACAGCTAAAATGCTTCGGATGAAGACTCAGCTTGATCGTATCTTAGTGTATATATGCCATTGAGTTGAGCGTTAAAGCTTGATGCTTGTTAATCGATATTAATGAAATGCAACACAACACAGCAGATGACCCGCATCCGGGCGAACTATTTGGCGCACTCTATAGACCGTTTTATCGTGGGTAGCGCCATTTTGAGAGCGAGAGAGAAAAGGAGAAAGGGCTACCGGCGCTTTCCCCCTTTCTCATTGTGTAGAAAGAGTGAAAGTCCCGGATGAGAGGCTTGGCCGGTGTTGGGCGTCTGCAGTGCCCCAACTTCGTTCGCGCTTTCTTCTACGTTTCAAACTCCCAAACTTAATTAGAGCCATGGTCTTCGATGGCGACAGTCCCCCGGTCATCGGGACACCATTGCTGGATGATAGGGTGCACGAATAACGACAGAAAGCGTCGAATACTGTCCGAGGACCTATGTAGCTTGCATGGAATCCGGCAAGGCAAGTACGGCTGGAATGTTTTTAAGCTCCATTGCTTTCCGCATGACTGGAAATGATGAACCATTTATACATTTTTGCTTGCAATGGGCCTATTTCAACGTAGCCGCTTTTAGTTGTAATCAACAAGCGATACACGAAACGGGAACCTCAATTAACTTTGTAAATGCCCGGAGCTCCTACATATCGTCTTGCTGTGCTGTTTTTATCTTCGTGTCCCTGTTCTTATATCTCCTTGCAAATGAACGACAAAGACGCTCTAGATGTACTTTTATCGAACCGCAGAATGCCTCGAAGCAGCTACGAATTATTTTACTATTCGATGCAATATTTTAAGTACTCGTCTCCAATTTCTATCGCTGTCACGTTCGCTGCCGCTGCTCCCCCCGTCGCCACACTGGCGGATGCCATGACTTAAACAAAGAAACGTGCGCACTGGGCTCGAAAACGCAGATCACAACACGAGACGTTCCTGCAGCGACTATCAAGCGCCTCAAAGCGCCTTTGTCAACGGAAACAACCCACCAGCGGCACTTCAAGGAGCACTTTTGTCGGCTCTCTGGTATCGCGCAGGAGATCGCGATTAAAAAAACAAACAAACAAAAAATAGAACTACGTTTTCAACAATTTTCAGCCTCACCCGGCGGCGGAAATGAGCCTTTAACTAAGTGTTGTAGATGATAAAATCGAGTCAGTCAGCACTGCAAATTATCACTATTAAGATAAATTCAGTTACGAAATTTTACAAGCTGAAAAAGCAGTTATCATGAGAAAACTCGCCCGCACATTGCGAGCGTACCCCATGTTCATCGGCGGTACAGCGTTCGGTGCGCGCTCCATTCACGAAATGTTCCGAGCGAAGTCGAGAGGATGGCGTGGAGGAAACGCCTTTTCGGTTTACGGACGCAATCCACTGCCGCCGGAGACAGGGGTCATGTGAAAAGCGATGGAGCTGAAAGACATTGCAGCCGCTCTCGCCTTGCCGGGTTCCTTGCAAGCTACATATGTCCTCGGACAGTATTCTATGCTTTCTGTCTTTATTCCTGCACCCTATGACGCAGCAATGGTGTCCCGATGACCGGGGGACTGTTGCCATCGAAGCCTCTGGCTCTAACTAAGTTTGCGAGTTTAAAACAGGAAAGAAAGCGCGAACGAAGTTCGGGCACAGCAGACATCCAACGCCGGCGAAGCCTCTCATCCGGGACTTTCACTCTTTCTACACAATCAGAAAGGGGGAAAGCGCCGGTAGCCCTTTCCCCTTTTCTCTCTCGCCCTCTTTCAGTAAAACGGTCTATACCCACCTTAGCAATTACTGCAAACGAACGGGAATGGCGAAGACAAGTCCGCGCTATCGGAAGTCTCACTGCCTCCGTGGAGATTACATTTTCGGACTAAATAATTCTGGTTTCTCAATTCAACCTCGGTCGATTGCAGCAATTGGGCCTCCACGTGGTTTGCCGTATACCTATGTGCATCGTTTAAATCCCACGATCTTACTAATGCTAGAGTAGAGATTTGTGGAACTCCGCTTCTTAGCAATTCACGCGGCAAAACAGCCCCCGAGTTCCTCTCAGCCGGCGGACCAAGGCAACATTAACTAGAGAAGAATCAAAGCCCGTGCTTTTCGACGACACTGAGATTCTAGCGCAGATGCAGATTGACCACGAGTGCTGCATGAGCGTTCGGTTGGGTTTCGTGTCCATTCGATGCGTCGAAGGACGTCCGGCGTCGGGTCTAATTGACATTTTGCCGAATAACCCAAGCATCAGAAAAAATGCTGGGAACGTAGGTACACGCACTGCGCGTGCTGGTGTCTTCAGCTCTAACTGTTCGAAAGCAAAAATCTAAAAGAAATGACACTTCGCACGCGCGTTGCACGGACACTTTATTTTGTTATTTACTTCGAATCTTTTCTATAGGGAAGGCGAGCACGTGTAGCGCGTGTACCCACGTTCCCAACATTCTCTTTGATGCTTGGAGAATCATAGCGAGAGGTCAATTGCTGAGTGGTCGCCATCCGAGTGGGTGAAGACGTTACATGAGGCTATAGATGACGCTGTTCACAGGCTTTGATTACTCTATGATAGGTGGTGCTCACTAAAGCCAGACACAACATTTGATGTGTGTCCACGCTCTTTGCTTCCACCATGTCACTTCTGCCTGTTGTGGGCTCAGTGGCAAAGTACACTTTTGTCGTCGCGATCGACGCATCGCACGAAATGTCCTATTCACTGGCGGTCACGGTTGGCGGGTTCCTTCCATTGCACCGCAGGGGCTCTCGGTGTTGGCCTGACGTTGCCAGGGTCGCTATCCTCGGAGCAAGGAGGGAAAGATATAGATGGGAGGGAAATCATTGAGGCATTCTCTATTGCGAGCCTAGAGGAAGGTAGCGTCAGCAAACCGTGTCTCTGTCAAAAAAAAAAAAAAAAAAAAAGTTGCGCTTTTACGGTTAAGAATGAATTGCCTCGCGTGAGATTATTAGACAGTTTTAGTGGACAGTACGCTAAAGCTTTGTGTACGCAAAGCATTTGCGGTTCGGGAGTGCGCATGCGCAGAATGCAGTAGAGGGGCTGGCGTCTTGCGTACGCACGCAACGCTGGCGATTTTGCGTTGCGGGCTTTGCGGGAAGCTCTCGAGAGATCTCGGGCCCAGCGAGAGCCCCAGTTTCAAGATGGCGGTTACCTCGACTGGCGCAGCAAGGGCGACGCGGTGTTCGCGAAGTTTAGTGTTACGTGAAATTGCGTGGCGTTCAGCTTGGCAATTCTTTCCGGGACCTACTGTGGTCGAGTCAGATCACCGTGCAGCTGAAAAAGTGCACAGTGAAAATGTTCACCGCTTGCAACATGCGTGAACGCTGCGATCTGCTCAACGCTAAGCCTCTTCGCGCAGTTCATCGCCGACGAACGAACGACTCTTAACGAAATCGTAGAAGGTGTCGCTGCGCACTGGACATTAGTAGGTCATGTTTTTTTTTTCTTTTTTCCGTGATAGCATTGATAAAAAGTGCCCTTTGCACGGGGCGATTGACAAAGGCTCTGTGATCGAATTTGGCTACGCACTCGAGCTCGTAGCTTTCGTACCCCATAGAAAAGTGCGCTTGACGCTTGACCAGGCAGCTGCGACTTGGTTTAATTTGAAATCAGATGACTGGAAACGTTATAATTTTCAATATTTCATTTGAGGGGCATGGTGGCGCTATAAGCACGCGGAATTCTACGGCACTGGCGAATTTTACCAAGATCATGCGAGGTGTTCACTCGGAAACTTAACACACAACTGAAATCGGTCCGAGCACGTCGTTTTAGCGTACGCTATACTATTGCGTATTGCGTACGTAAGAACCAGCAACGCTATGCTAAAACTGCCTATTGGGTATAACGTGATGGCGTGATGCTTCGTTGGCGAGTCGGTTTTTGTGAATGTTGTTAATATAATTAGGTGACTTTGCTCACTTTCTTAGTGCCCTTTCGGCTATAAAATTTGAGTTGCGAGTACAGCTGTGTCCTGTCGTAGTTGTGTATTTTCTTTGTCCACGTTTACTGAGCTGTTTATGTCCATCATGTATATTATCTGGGCACACGCGCGTGGAGGCTAGTAGCGTGTTTCTGTTGACTACTTCGACTTCTTTCCAGGTTTACTCCGCCATGGCTCACAACCTAGGCTTGGCCTGGAAAGACTTGAACGCTCAACTGGAGCACCGTAGCCGAGTGCTGGACGCTGGCGTTGAGTACCATGCTGCGGCGAAGAAGGCAAGTTCCGCTCAGAACTTTAGATGAAGGCGATATAGCTATTTATGACCCACTGCTCTTTCTTAATACACGGTGTTAGAATGTCAGCAATAGAACGGCAAGTAGGAATTTCAGTTGTCCTGCTTCCAGCGCGAGCTTCTATACTTTCGAAAACACTTCGCCTGAGCCTCGAGCGTGCACGCTCAGTCAAGGCACGGCTGAAGGCAAGGAGGGCGTACTGGAGGCCGTGCATTCGAAAGATACTCCCTCTTCATGGGTGTACCAACAAGGGGGGGGGGGGGGGAAGCAAGGGGGCGCCTCCCCCCCCCCCCCCCCCCCCCCCCCCCCAGTTCTCAGAGTGTGGGGAAAGGCATGTTTTGCCCCCCTGAAAAAGCCACCAATGGGCAGGGCAAACACTGGCCGGCGTCGCCCAAGGGATACCAATGGCACCACCCCCCGGCACTGAGGAAAGAAGGTTCTGGTTTGCGCCCCCCCCCCCCCCCACACACACACACACATACACACACACGCACACTCAGAAACAAGTTGGCACGCCACTGTCCCTTTTCTGATCCTGTCGGTGCCCCGACTGCACTTTAAAAATTCTGTGCGTTTACCTTCCTGCGGACCACGAGAGACAACCAATCACGGCTAACAACAAAAAACACGCAGTCAAGCTGGTGAATTAACTGCATAATGAGAAACATTATTCGAACCCCATCAACGGAAGGTAGTGGAGTTCGGGAGCTTCTTCTTGAGCATGTCGAATGCTTGTTGATTGACGCATGGTCCAGGACCATGGAGTTCCTTTGATCGTCAGCTGGCGCAGAGGTTGGTTCAGGTTGGCGAGGTCAGGCCGCAAACGTCTGCAGTAGTTGGAGATGCCCAGGGAACTTCGCACTTCACTGGCGTTTGTTGGTGGGGCAGCGTTCTTGAGTGCCGCCAGATTTGTCGAATCTGTTCGTACTCCAGCGCGGGGAAAAAAAAAACGCCCAAATAATGTGAGCTTCCACTTGAAAGAAACTGCATTTCTTGGGGTTTAGCGTTAGTTCACACATGCTCAGGCGCTCAAGAGTTGCTTCAAGTGCTTTGTCGCGGTCTTCCTTGGTCACATCGTAGAGCAGGTCGTCATCACTTACGTTAAGTGCATTTGAGATGTCGCTAATGACCTGGCGTATTGTGTCCCGAAAAGCTTCCGCAACTGAGTTAATGCCGAAATTCAGGCGCTTGTGCCTGAAAAATTCTGCGTGCGTTGAGGAGGTTGTGATCGACCGAGGGTCTTCTTGCAGCTTGAGTTGGTTGTATTCTTTCTTGAGATCGAGGTTTGAAAACAATGTTGGCTCCGCTGAGTGCTGTTAGAAAGTCGTCAAAAGTTTGAGTAACATGTCGCTCACGGAGAATCGCCTTGCTGGCACACCTCAAGTCTACGCACATTCTCAGGGTATCTGGGTCATGTGGCTTGGGGACCAGTAGTACTGGAGACACCCATGCTGTGAGTCCTTCTGTTTTCTCAATAATGTCTAGTGCGTACAAGCTCCGCCTCGAATGGTTTCCGCATGGTGAAAGGAATACGGCGGTGTGACATTGGTGTCATGCTGTCATCCACATGCAGGCGCACTTATTGATCTCGAAGGCATCTCACTCCTTGGATGACCTGGGGGTACCCTGTGAGATGTCGTTTTCCGTGAGGGTGTCTTTAACGGGGTAAGTTATCTGAATCAATCCCAGACGTGAGGCTGCGGAGAAACTTGACAGTTTTGTACGGCCACCATCGACAACGACGAGGTTTTCTGTACTTTTATGGGTTTCGTACCTCACGACTACAGGTAACCTTTCAAGTAAGGGCAATGGGGATTTTGAACCGTATGCAAAAAAAAAAAAAAAAAAAAAGCCTTGTTTGTGTGTCCACCAACGCGCTGTGGAGGCTAAGTTTCTTGAGGCCGCTTGCTCCATGTGGTAGACACGGTGGCTCCCGTGTAAACTGTTAACTGCGTGGGACTGCCGTCCACATCCACTATTACGCTCAGTGACTTCACATTTTCACTTGATGACCTTGTTGCAAAGCTATACTCATCACTGTCCGAACTGACATTGTGGCCTACAGCACGGGCAGACATTTTAGCCAAACGACATATCTTGGAGAGGTGGCCCAACTTTTGGTATGATTTGAAAGTTCTGCCTCTGGCTGGGAAGTCGACCACCGTGATGAGGCCACGGTCCTCCGAAGTTGTAGCATGATGCGTATGGCCGTTGCTGGCGCTGTTTCTGCGATGACTGCGTTAGAGTTTTCTCTTTGCGCTTCGGCGGACATGGTCGCGAGGTAGGTTTTGCGTTGACCGCCACTGTTGCCACTGTGTTCCCCGACGGCTGTCGCACTTGTTCCATTAGCGTGACCTTGTGTTCGACATCTTTGAAGTACGAACAGCCTATCTTGCTTGAGGATTCTTTGTAGGTCGAGGTCATGTTGCATGGCGTATCCTTACCGGCTTAAGCGTAAAGACGTCATAAAAACCAGTATCTGGTTCTTGATTTTCGACCGGCAAAGACACAGCGTCACACGACATGCCGTAGTCTAGAGTAAAACGCGCCAAGAGACTCGTCTTCCAATTGCTTGGTTCAATGGAAACAGTAAACCTCGAATGTTATGTTCACCCTGGGTGCAAAGTACGCGTCGAGCTTGTACGTGCTGCCTTGGGGCTTGCCTCAGTGGATCTTGAAACCGCTGCGGGTGGCGTGGTCCCTGGAGGGTTGGGTAGCGCATTATAGGTATTGTGAGCTTCCACGATGTAATGTAGCAGTAGGGCAGTCTTTCGGGAGTCGCTTGTGATGCCGCGGGTTACCACGAAGCTGTCGAGACGTTTTGCCCATTTCAACAACTCGGTACCGACCTTATGGCGCCAGTGGCAGGGGCGTCGAAGAAGTGAAACGTGGGGAGCATGCTCTGCTCCATACCGCCACACAAGGGTTCGGTTGTTTGTTGCTGATAGGATTCGTAGCATTCAACACTGTCGTTTAGCCGTTCACACGTTGCTCAATCGCATTCGAGTCGCTATTACAATGTTGAATGATCGCTTGAATGGGCGGATTCCTGTGGATTTATCTGAGTAGAACGATACACTTGTTTATTGAACGTTATACGGTAGCCATGTTGGATTTCCTTCCTTATTCAGTGTTGTCAGACTTGGTGGTCGGAAACGACTAAAGACAATACACTGCGCAGGAATAATGAGCTAGTAAAAAGTGATGCCCATTGTTCCTGCGCACATTGTATCTTTTCATTTAATACTATTCTTAGCGTCGACATTCTCTAGGATCCTGATATTCTTCACTGTGATTTGTCTCGTGTTCTGCAGGGAAGTGAGTCCACAACACTTTATTTGTGTTGTGACCCATGCGTGCAAGCACGTGCAGGGTGCGCGTGAACGTAGCTTTGCCAGTCATGCAATAGACCGATCTCACCAAACGTTCGGCGCATGCGTGACGCCGCCATAACTTTAGTTCACTGGAAGCATACGGCAGTGCACGAGAGGGTTCGTGCCCCCCCCCCCCCCCCCCCCCCCCCCGGCCCATGTCAACTCAGACTGCGTTTTTTGGTCTAAATATATGTTTCGGCATCATCATTCGCTGAGCTGCCTCCGTAAGATGCGGTGACTGGCTCTCCCAGTGTTGTGTGGGAAAGTAGACACACGGGCTTTTTTTAAAGTGCGTGCGGCAGTGGTGGCGTGGTCAAACTGGCTGGTGAGATCGGTCTATTGCATGTGCTTGACCGCACGAGAAGGGACATCGCGGTGACCAGTTGCCCTGCTTACAATCCTGTATAGTTTGCATTCACAAATAGGTTAATTCAATTGACATTTCTCACTTAATTGTTTAGTACCGCACTGTTCCGTGGGTGCCTCTTTGGTGGGCTTTCGTGATAAAATTGATTCTGGAGATCGAAGACGTTTGTTTTAAGTTACAAATGTTCTCTAATTTTAATACCGACTTAAGGAGGAAGGGACAAGCGTTGTTATTTGCTTTTGCTTCACTCAGCAAGGTTATAGTATCATATAGACCAGTGGTCTCGAACTCATTTGAGTGTGGGGGCCAGATATTTTACACTGGAAAGGCCAAGGGCCAACATTAAACGCGTGAAGGGGAGGAAGGGAAGGGTCCTAAAGGTTTAAAAGAGAAGAGACCTCGTGCTCTGTGATGTTTATAAACTCAGTTCTGTTAGTGACATCTTTAGATTTGATTTGTTTGTATGACGACTTTGTGTCCCTACCTGATGTGGTAGCAATAATCAATATGACACCACCCCGCCAACGTGCTGGCATTTTTAATATAACAAGAGAGCAAGTGTGCTGTCGTTCCCGTTGCTCACTTCACTCGGGAATTAAGCAAGCTGAACATGTCTTTTAAAAGCAATCAGAATTAATATGAAAGTTCTTGCTTTCCTGACGGTTTTATTATAACACTATGAAAAAAAAATACTTGCATATTAATGGTGTTATTTTGTGAAGGCCAGAATCCCGAGCTCGTATAGCTTTATTTTGGCAGCTGCTCCTGCTGAATGAGAGTTCGCGCAGACGAGATGCATTCTTTAACAAAGAGTTCACGCTTGCAGCCCAGTAGTGGTATTGTTGTACATTACAAAAAGCTGGGAAGCTAAAAATAAAGTGAAACAAAGGAAAAATGAACGCAGATAAGTATAATCTGTGTGAAAAGGTGAAGAGACCAGAGCTACTTTTTCCAGCGAAACTGAAACGATGAGATGAGATCACTATGGCGTATGCCATTTTTAGCACTCGAGACATGGGAACCGGGACTCGTAGCCTGTTGCCTGCGGGCCGCGTCCCATCGAGTCGCGGGCCGCGTGTTTGAGAGTCCTGATATAGACGTAACACAACCCTGAGATTGCAGCTAAGCAAAGGACGACACATACACGAAAAGTTCCAATGTTATGGGGTTGTGTTATGTGTTATCTTCACCAGCGCGTTTGCGGCCTGATTTTGTTCATTGATATCATATTCTATTTACAGCTTTCCGAAGAACTTGCCAAAGGGGAACAGGAGTTCTCGGAGACCTTCCTTCCAGACCAGGTGGCTGCTTGCGAGACTCGACTGCAAAAACTGAACGAGCTGAGGAAAGGTAGCCACGTTTACTCTTCTCCATCGAAATTTCCATTAGCTAAAGGCCACTCGTTGCTTTATTTCAGCGATTCTCGAGGCTTCCAAGCGAAGCCTTCAGCCTTTCCAGAACCTCCTCCACAAACTGAAAGAAGTTTGTACAATGGGTGACTCTAGACCTCGCCAGCCAACGGTTGCCATAGCGGCTGTAGCGGCACTGGAGACGCAGCACGAGAACCTCCAGGACACGAGAAGGAGGCTGGGGCATGTCTGTGAAGCGCGAAAGGAGGCCCTCGAGAAGCGGCTACGCTCGCTGCTCTTAAGCCAGGAGCTGGACGAGGTGACACGTCACCACACAATCGAAAGCTGTAGCTTTGCTACCACGCAAAGTTTTCCCCTTATTTCAGGTGCAGCATCAGCTGGAGCGAAGCACGGAGGAAACGGCGTTGGGTGACTCCCCTGCCAGCAGCGAAATTCTTCTACACGAACACACGACGAGAGTGGCACCCACGAACGAGAAAATGCGAGACCGAATGCTGAAGCTGCTGAAGGCAGCGAAGCAGATCCAAGACGCGGAGCTCGAAACTCGAGCTTACGACCTGATGGCGCAAGTGACCAGCCGCATTGAGAGAGACGACGCCCGAAAGAAGGACTTGAAAGACTCGGTGGAATTCTTCAATGAAGCTCAAACAGTACGGGGGTTTGGTAACGTTCGTTCCGGATTTGAGCCTGAAGCTTTCACGTTTGTCCACAGGCTCTGAACAAGTTGGACCAGTTACAGATTCAAGTATCTCAAGGGGCGGTTCAGGACGTAACTGCTGCGACAACCTTGTTAGACGCGTGCGTCGAAAAGCCGTTGCGTTTGGGACGAGACCTCTTGATGCGAGTATCCTCGGGCACCAACGGGATCCAAGAGAAGGTATGCTCCAACTGATCGTTGATAAACTTAACGTATGGTCCGGTGACAACTGTGGGCACTGCAAGTTCTGCAGAGAGCTATGCTGGGCGTCAACTTCTTCGTGCTATGCTAAAGGTAATCGTAGATTCCCGTCGTAATAGCCACTTGCTCGACGAGCGCATGCAAATGAGACGCAAGATGCCCTGCAGTGCGTCTCATTCGCAAGATGCGCAGCAGTGCGAGGTTGCAGCAGTCTGGAATTCAAACTATACTTGACAACGTAGCAAACAAAAAAAAAGTTGATAATTGTAAATAACAGAAAGGCGTATGCCGATAATGCCAATAACTTGCAGAAATCGCCACACCGCCGTGGAGCAATATGAGTTCGTTTATAGTTTATAGAATACACCAGGAACTGGCTTCTGGACGTTGCTATCTACAGCGTTTCTGGGTATGGCGCCTACCTTTCTTTTTTCGGAAGACACTACGGTGTGAGGTACTCTTCAGGTGAGGACACAAAGCACGGCGAGCGCTGCTACGCAATCGACCGGATCAAGTCCTATTGGCGCGCGCCAGGCAGGCTGCTGCCGACAGCATCCTCCACTGGCCATCCGACGTAGCTATGGGAGAAAAGTGATACAAAGACAAAGTATCTCGTTGCAGTGGCACTTTGGAGCTCCGCTTTCTGCTCAGCGTCTGCTCCGAGCATAAGACGGACACTTGCTTGAACACCGCGCCATATTTCTCTCCGTTTCAGTTCCCCCATAAAACCGTTCTTGTGGCCACTGTGGCACGAAACTGGGATTAGGGACGAGCCTGTGTCTAAGTAACATCGTTAGCGCAAGTGCTAAGTTCTACAGCACGCGGGGCGGTCAGAAAACGTCTTTAAAAGCCAGCATGTTTCCCGTAGAGAAGCGTGGAAAACCGGGTCTGTGACAGGTTTCCACAGGCGGCTGATCTAGGTCATCTGATGGCGCCGCTCGCAGTCAGTGTGACGAGTTGACTTTATCTGGCATATCCAAAGCGCGCGGTGTTTACCGCTAAAGAGTACATATTGCCCCGTGCGAGCCGCGAACATGCGTGTGGTGGGTTGTATATTGCATACTGGTTGGTTGTGATTAACCGCGTATACGGCGAGCAAGTGTTCCAAAACGCGTCTTTAGGGTATCGGACCGCAAGGAGGGGCACGCGAATCAAAGGGCAACGTACAGAGCGCACAGGGAACACGCTATGAAGAGGCAGCCAAGCGTACGCCGTCATTGATCGAGGTTGGGGGGAAACAAAGGCACGTGGTCGCATTTGGCGTGTAAACAAACACACGTGCAAGGAACAGCCGCACTTGCAGATCCCTTTTGCTTGCCTCGTAATTATATTTTCTTTTTGCCAGGTTCACGAGTTAGAGAACAGGCGACTGCACGTAAAGCAGCTGTACACACAGAAGACCGCCGATGCTGTTCATAGCAGCGAGCGCGCAGTCAACTTCTTGTCCCAGTGCAACAGCGTAAGTGCTTAAATCTCTGCAGCCGTAACGATATGGTACTCCTGTTACTAATTTTTGGCGTCCTTGTCACTTTCCTAGTTGTACACTTGGTGCATAGAGGTAGTGCAGACGTTCCTGGAGCAGAACAACACTCTGGGCGTCGGTTTGCAAGCCTGTCACGGGTTTCTTCAGAAGCACCAAGGGATGCTGAACGAACTACAGGCCAAGGAGCCTCAGATGACGTCGTTACTAGTTCAGGATGACGCGAAGGCCAAGGAGCTCCTGCAGTTATGGCAACACTGCCGAACTCTTCTCGAGCAGAGAATTCGATTGGCTCAGCGCTACCAGACCTGTTGTAAACTCTCCTCTCAGGTATACGCTAGCGCTCCATTATGGCGAGGCTCAATAACCTCATGTGCGATTCCTCCATTTCCAGCTACTCGAAGGCCTGAAGACTATTCACGATGCTAGCCATGAGCGTCAAATCGTAATCAACGAGAACTTTATGCAATTTGATCACAATGCCAGCAACTTCTTACTGGACGCGCATAAGGTGAGTCCAGCTTGGCTTCCTCCGCAAGGTTGAGCGTTTTTATTGTTTCATTACTTTCCACTGCCACTTCCATCTTGTCTCCTATTAGATCCAAGACTCCTCGCTGGATATATCAAGGGCTATCCGCCACGTCCAAGAAACACTGGACCAGTGCCGCCAGCTGAAAAATAAACCTGGGAACAACACCGAGCAGTTGGTCAGGGAGGCGCAGAGGGTGAGACATAACGGTTCATGGATACCATTATAGGCTATTTTCAAATTAAGTTGCGTTGCTAAATTGGTCTCCTGTGAAGAAGATTGCTATGACCTGGACTGAAAATTTAGCACCAGGAATTGCCTCTTGATAGGTTAAGTATTGAGGTTGGTCATTAGTGATTCATAGAGGGCCTGCAACATGCTACTGTAATTATCCTGTACGGCGCTTCTAAAGTGATAAACTTGAATACTTTTGCACACTATGAACAAGGCTCCCTCTTCTCCAGATAAGGCTATTGCTTTCTATAATAAGGCTCACGCGTCTTCTTTTCCAGACGGTACGGATAGAACCGATTAGTGTTACGGAACGGGCACACCCCCATTCCATTCCAATTCCATTCCGGGGAATGAGAGCTTTCAACAATTCCATTCCTTTCAACTCCTCGGGATGAAACACTGGGCTCATTCCCACTCCTGGAATGGCTGGACTCCACCATTCCATTCCTTTAATTCCTAAACGTGAAAACACAGAAGTTGACAGCCACATTGTGTTACTAAAAAAAAAAAAAAAAAAAAAAAAAAAAAAAAGAAAAAAAGGCGGCATAAAGCTGCTGATGTTATAAAACACGGAGACGACTGCAAAAATATCCAAAGCTTCCTCAAATCACTTTTTCTATTAAGCCGAGGGGTGGTCGCACAAAGCATTTCGTGGCACCACAGACGTCGATCGCGCGATCAAGCGTAAAAGGCTTGCGAGTCGCAGCACACGCCAACTATTAAGACTACCCATTTTCTTCGCAAACGGGCCGTATACCCACAAAAGATACATGGTTAGCGTGTTGTTTGTTTTATAAGACCTTAAAAATGTCTCGTTCGTGCATGGCGCAAGAAGCTACCTAGCTCTCTGTTTCGAATACTTGCACAACAGCACCTCTAGTGCGCTGTTAGAAGCGACGCCGCGTATTCGCGACTCCAGCGAACTCTAGGGGGTGCGCTGGTCAGGCAAAATGGCGGACGAAAGGAGGTCGTTTACGCCGTTCAGCACGCGGGCCACCATAAATGTCTTGCACTGCAGCATAAAATCGGTGTTACATATGAAAGCAAAGCGATTTTTCGACGGTAGAAACCTTCTTCTGGTCAGTGCGTATAGGAATGACACGGCGGAAGCATAGAAATATTTGCTGGAAACGATGTTTGTTTCTATGCTGCCTACGAGAACCAAGCAGCGATATTAGACGACAGATTCGAAACGACCTCCTCTCTTGAGCTTTTTGGCATTGCCGCTACATGGCGTCGATTTCGCTGAAGTCGCCAAAACCTGCCCCAACTTTCCACGTACTGCGGCAAGAATAGAAAACCGCTCACAAAGTGCAATCGGTATACGGCGCCAGCATAAGGGAAGGATAGCAGCATACTATGGAACCTGCGCCTAAAACGTAAACGTAAGCGTGGGTTAAAAGCAGCGAGTCGAACCGGTCATTATTCCGGCTCGGTTCGGGTTAAGTAGCATTGAGTTTGGTTCCGGTTCGGTTCTGGTTCAGTGATGCTTTTAAAATAACGGTTCGGTTACCCGTTCTATCAAGCCTGAACCAGTTTAAACCGGTTAAAAAAAAAAAAAAAGTCCAAAGCTCCTGTAGCAGGAGCTATCGGCAGCGATCCAGAGCTTGAACGGTGCCAAGCTCACGGGGACAAGCACGAGCTAAGGACACGAGGTGCCTGGACCACGAGCTGCACGGACTCTGGGATTCGGCGACAGGCCCCTCGATGAGCTAGTCAAGAGGACAGTATACATATTGTAAATAAATATGTAGGAGTGTGATTTACCGAGCCTCCACTCCTACATATTTATTTACAATATTTACATTTTTTTTTTTTTTGACTAGCTCATCGAGGGGCCTGTCGCCCAATCCCAGAGTCCGTGCAGCTCGTGGTCCAGGCACCTCGTGTCCTTAGCTCGTGCCTGTCCCGTGAGCATGGCGCCGTTCAAGCTCTGGATCGCTGCCGATACCTGCCGCTACACTCCCATTAAAAAGAAAAGCTTACTTCAACACGGCGTCATCTGCATCAATAAAATAATTAGGTCACCAGAAGCCGTGCTCCTTAAACGAGGACAGCAAAACCAGTACATGCTTAATTTCGTTTCGCGATCTTAAAGCAAACACCGTTAATTTAAAATTACTTGGTTATACATGCGCTTGGAAACAGTTCCAAAGTACACCAAAGTATAGTTGTTAAATGGGAAGTCAATCAGGCAGCACGCAAAGTGATACCGTAGCGGTAGCACGTACCACACTCGCAAACCACCCACAGAAAACTAATTAGTCGTTGATTAGACAACTGTAGTTTAGTCTGTCAGAGTACGGCGACATTGTTACCCACTGTAGATGAGAAATTTATCGAGTGCATACGACTGCTAGCGTGGGGTCTTTAACGGATATCACGCAGTACTGATACATAACCGCATGCCGGTACGATGCTCATCCAGATCGAAACGGCACACTACCCACACTGCACGCCCGAACGACTCGCTCGAACGACTGAGTTGAAGAGGAGAAAGACTGCGCAGGCCCATCGAAAGATAATTAAAACAGAAAAAAAGGACAAACAATACAACGGGCGACTTGCAGATTCTAAGAAACGCACACAACAACACACGTACACAAAAATCACTTCAAGCAGCGTCCAGGGCTTTGGGCGACTGGCGTCTCGGCGACCGGCGCCGTAGTGTCGCGCTCGTCCCGACTTTGTTTCTTCGCGCCTAGATTTCGCCACCGCGGAACAAACGCGCCGATAGCCGTGAACTTTTTGTTTTATTTTCACGTTTATGTTCGCTTTCTCCTTCCTTGTGGAATATTTTTTAGCGCCAAAAGAAAACACACACAAACATACACAAACACACACGCGCGCGCGCGTGCAGAAAGAATAGTTTCTTAAGACACTCAACAAAACTGTTTTTAAAATTTTTTTTTTATAGAAGTGTATACGCCTCCACACCGAGTCGCCGACGCCAATTCGTGCTGTACAGAGACGTGAAACATACTTATTAGTTTCATTATTATTGAGCTGTCTCCATGTCGTCGCTGCCGTTTGCTTAGTCAAAACTGAGCCGCTGACGCCACCGTCGCGAATATTTAATTCACTTCGCGCGGCTCCCATTTCATTACACCGAAACGTTTCCAATGAACCGGTAACCGCCACATGAGATTACGGTTCCGTTCCGGTTCGGGATCAATGTCAGACGTTTGATTTGGATTACAGTCTTGTTCCGGTTCAGTTAAAAATAACGCTTTGCTCTGGTTATCGGTTCGGTTCGGTTCGGTTCAACACCCTTGTTAACAGTTACATGCTAATCGCGCATTTTTACAAGAGCCGCTCTGTCGCGTCTCGCGGCGCCAGGAACGGCACGTTCGTCTACAAGTCTTCAGTTTTGGTTGCTTCACTAAGGGCGCGCCATTTTCAACCTCAAGGGAGCATAAGCCAGTGAGGTAACAAGCCGTCAGACACCTCCAGTGCAATGATGCTGTTTCAAGAGCCACTTACCTTGCGCTAGCGAATTGCGCCATCATCCCTTAGGCCCTAGATGCAAATCGACACTGCTCGCATATGCACCGACCCCATTCCATTCCCGCTCTATTCTGGGCAGAAGGCATCGAGTTCTATTCCCATTCCATTCCGGGGTCGCGAAAGTGCGGAATGATTCCCGAATCACTCCAATTCCGGAGAGGCAACTCCGCAACACTGGCACCGATCGCTGTTATTTGTGGGAGAAGCTGAGCGAAGGACGATTCAAAGATGTCCTTTTCAGGCGAAAGTGCCAACCGCATCGCAACATTGAGCATGACGTTTTGCATGGCCAGAGCCCGGCGCATGTTATATTTTTCACTCCCCCCCCCAAAGAAAAAATAAAAAAAATACAGTTTTGATTATAGTTCATTGCGATAGGATTTATTCTCCTACAATGTAGGTGCTTGGCAATGTACTGTAAGACAAAGCAATTCACTGAATGTAAATACCTAAAAAAATTATAACAATCTTGCCACTGGTGTTTGTTCATTCAAATCAGCATTCATAGAAATATATATTTGTTTTTATGCTTTACGGACAGACAATGGAGTCAGCCGTGAAAATCGAGTCGGAGTTGTACCCTGCCATTCCCCGGGAGCTGACTCGTGCTGAGACGATCGCTCAGTACTTGGACAGGCACCTAGACACCTTGATGCCTCTAGTCAGGGTAACGTATTCCTACCTTTTAATCATGAATATGTTCTGAAAAAAAAAATCACTTTGCAGACAGTTCAGTCTGAACTGGACGCACGGATCGAAACCTCACACTCGCTGCAACGCAAAGAGCAGCTCGTAGAAGAGCTACGCTCCACGCAACAAAGCTTCCAGGAAAACATATCCAAGTACCAGGACTTGGTCAAAGCCATGATAAATTTCTTCAACTACTTTTCTCAGGTGAACACCTCATCTCACTGCTTGCTGGCTTTTGTGTGTACACCGTACGGTGCAGTTAGGACGAACAGGGCGACGGCTCTGTTTTTTTATTTGAGTGCAGATAAGGGCCGAACACAAAGTGTTCGCGTAGATGCCCCAGGTACACACAGTCCAGTGCACTAGTAGCTTTGATCCCAGCCTTTCAGGTGGGCGAGGAGTGTGGAAAATACAGTCGATCGCTTGTTCGTGCTAAGGCCCGAGCCCCACTAGAGCAACAAACAGAAACAACCGACACCGACAAGCCTCAGACACGTGAAGCATGCACGCTACGGTGTCTTTGGCAGATTTCAATCACTCGTGCTTACTTCATGAGCACCGAGAGACTGCAAGCTGCCAAAGGTACCATCGGGTGGAGGCTGCACCTGTTCAAGGCTTGTCGGTGTCGGTTGCGTCTGCATGTTGGACTACTGATCACATTGACTTGTCCGAAAACAAGGCGATCCCTTTGAGAGCATTAGTCTAGGTGTCTACTTCCCCGCACATCACAGGCAAAGGCTGTCGTTGCGATTTGTGGAAGAAGACCAGCGACCAGCTGCACACTCTACGTATCACTGGGAGCTTGCGTCACCAAGAGCGACGTTCGAGTGCCTGCTGTGTAGATCTTATTAGTGACTCCAAACGCAACTTGCTCCTTGTCACACGCCAATCTTGTTATATGATACACTCCGAGGGAAAGAGGGCTCAAAGGCTGTGTCATGAAATAATGACTTTATTTCCGAGTAAGCCTACCTAATGTATAACACCTGTTGGCAACTATGAGCGAGGCCTTGGGACTTCTTTCACCATTTACGTTTGTGCGCTTTTTTAAATTCATTCATATAAATTACGAACAATATTTCCAATACCAGAAAGACCTCCCCCTTTCTTTTTGTTAATGAGCAGAGCCGCCTTTTTAAAGTATTATGTAAGATTTGACTATTCAGTGATAAAAAAGGGAAAAAAAAATTATCCGGCAGCACAACATCACTATCGTCCTCCAGAAAATAATTTCAGCTGTATGACCCGCATCCTCCGTGAAAAACACATTAAACTTACAACGTTATGTAGCGATCACTTCCGTGCTGTTTCAAGCAATATGTTTTTGGCTGTTTCAGCTGGAGAAACAGTTACAGGACCGCCAGGATGACGAAGCCTTGTTGGATGAAGCTAAGCGGCAAGCGGACCACTTGGCGGCTCTAGTCGACCGCACCGTAAGTGGAAATCGAAGGAAAGCACTTAAAAAGTTTTCTGGTTAGAAAAAAAAAAAAAACAAAAACAAAAAAAAAAAACAAAAAAAAAAAAACATCACGAGTGATTTCTTGAGTGTATTAATGTCGCTTATAAATTATACGTTCTCATATGTGCTGGTCCAAAAGCCACTGTAGAGATGCGACAACGTCCCATTGTACACCCGGCCACAGTGATCTGAAGCACTACTTTGGGCTCCATAGGGAATTAATGAAGCGTTACAGTTTAATGTATTCCCGTGATTAGCCGCAAAAGTTCAGTGAAAGCGGCCGCCTCTTTCCTGCTGTACCCTTTAAGGGTGTAAATCAGCTTATCCTATGGCCAACACCCTTATACCCGTGCCACACGGGCAACTCGAATGCTATTTACAACGAATGACATTTGTGTGATGGGTGAATCAGTTCGGCAGTCTGTCGCGCGTGGAATGCGCTACGCCCGGAGTGTCGCGCGCTGATTGACCGTCCGCTCAAATGTCTTTCGTTGTAAATGGCATTCGAGTTGCCCGTGTGGCACGGGTATTAGAATACTGGTGACCACCCTGAAATAGGATGCTGGCCATCATGGCAGCATCATAGAGGTATTCAGCACAGATGGCGCGAGCTACAGTTTGATGTGTGTAGCAAAAAAAGGAATATTTAAGGACACTACTTTCAGGGGATTGCGAAAGCAGACAAGTTTTCTTTTTGACACATTTATCGAAATCAAGTTACGAGAAAACCAGTCCATGACTTTGTTGGAGGACTGCTGGAGCATCTGAAGCGCTTCTGGGTAGGAAGTATGACGTGTTAATAAAAGGGTGTCATCTGCATATTGGTAAATAATGCAGTTTTAAACCACGCTATGTAAGTCATTGACATAGATGTTAAACAATAGTGGAGAAAGAACGGACCCTTGCGGAACGCCAGCTATTAAACTAACCGTGGAACTTTGCACATTGTTCACTAAAACCAACTGTGTGCCCAAGCAGAAAATTTTCTAAAAGTGACAAGAAAGGTCCATGGAATCCTATGGCTGAAATTTTGCTAAGTAGTATAGAGTAATTAACAGTATCAAACGCTTTTGACACGTCAAAGAAGCATGCGCAAGTGAAAAGGTTATTCTCAAAGCCATAATTTAAGTCATCAGAAAACGTGTCCAAGAGAGGTTGTGTTCCTCGGCCAGCTATAAAGCCATACTGACTCGGAGACATGATTTGATATTAATCAATAAAGGGTGCCATCGTCATATAAATATATTTTTCTAATATTTGTGCCAGACATGGTAAAATAGATATTGCGCGATAGTTTTCTACCTTACTTCTCTGACCTCCATTAAATAGGGGTTTGACAACTGCAGTTTTTGATGCACGGGGTATGCTACCAGTCTCGATTATATTGTTGAAAAGTAAAAGGAGTATATCCTTAATGTAAGTGAAATTTCTTCGAAGATCACTAAGGCGTATTTTATCTATTCCAGGGGATTTGTTGAATTTGAGGCTCAGTATTATAGATTCTAAGTTGCTTGCTGTCATGTAAGGAAGAAAAGCGGAAGCAGAGTTCGAGTTAGGAATAGATGAACACATTGAGCTTTTTCTGGCTGTTCCGGAAAAAGAGGCAAAGAAATCGTTAAAAAGATTTGCAGCAGCAAGTGAGTTAATACCGAAGGTGTCTTTTAAAATGCTTCCTCGCATGCGCGGAGAGACACCGCGCAATTCGTTGATCAATGACCAGGTTTTAACAGCATTGCTCCGAGATACAGAAAACTGTTTTTGAAAATAAGCCCGATTACCAGAGCGAATGAGTGCGCTAACTCTGTTGCGGATAGATCTGAATTCTACATGCAGGCTTTGGTTGTGTGGTGAGCGCCGGCAGCGTTTCCAAGCAATTTGTTTAAGTTTAATTGCAGCTAATATGTCATTGTTAAGCCAGCGTAAATTGGAGAGAAGAATGTTCTCCACCGCCTTATATACTAAACAAATCAAAGATACTCATTGTCCGGTACATTTCTAAATTGATATGACTTTACATTTATATGACCGTTCTACATTTATCTGCCAATTGGAGTAAAGAAGCTATTGTCATTTCTGCCGCCTCTTTTATTATCTAAGGATGTTTCCATCATGGTAAATCACGCAGTGGTACATGTAAGACGCACTTCCTCGTCCTGCATGCGATGTCACTGTTCTATTTGGAGTAGAAAGTCAGAAAGTTGATTTTAGCTTGGTCAAACTCTGTCCAGGAGCCCAGTGAAGCGGCTGTTTTGGACCGAGACAAGATTCACTTCCTGGTGGATAACCGCAGACTAATGCTGGCGGCTAGCCTGCGCAAGTCTCAGCAAGACTCTCAGATGAGTAAGTTCAATGAAGAGCTGCAGCAGATTAACCACCAGGTGCGCGAGCTGACCGATTCTCTGAAGAGGGACTCATCCAAGTGCCATATGGTGGAGTTTCAACAACGGATTCAGGCAAGTTGTGTTTCGCGTTGTGTTTGCGTTAGTGGCGCAGTTTGGTAGCCTTTGGTTAGAGACAGCCTCCTGCTTATCGAGGAAGTTACTAGAAAATAAGGATAAGAAAGAAAGACACTAAAGTAGCCTAGATAAATTTAAAAGAAAAAAAAAGGCTGGGAAATATTTTTTACACCATTCTTAGCACTTGTCTTAGTCTCATTTCTATGTCTCTTCCTAGACTTTGGAGAAGAGGATCGAAATATTAAGCAGCTCGTCTCGAACGCAAACGGACTCTGCTCGCATGGAACTGGAGCAGCTGACGTCTCGCTGGCGTGCTTTTCACAAAGAGGCGATGGCCCCGCCTCCACAGCCGCTTGACAGAAAGGTTGGCATTTGCATCGGGGGCCTTTAGTATGCCATAGAAATGAGCTCGGCATTTTCTGACTCAAGTTAAATATTGTCTTTACTATATCAATTTTACTCGTCCTGTATTCATTAAGCATGCTGTCTTGGGACATCTTTGGAGGCTCTACTATCAAATATCACTACATTACCTCATGAATGTCTTGTTCCGCGTAATTAATATCCTCTTGTGTATTCAAAACAGTTGCAAATATCTAGTTTGTAATTTCTCTCTAGTGTCTCAGAAATCGATTATTGGTTTATGTAACCCGTGGCATGTGTTTTTATCCTCTGGGTCTACTTCACTGCGATTTCAAGGAAGCAAATCAGATCTGCGGACCTTCGTTTGTGGTACCTCTGGATGATGTTGAAGTACAGGATGGTTCCAAATGCAGCCTGGTGTGCGTGCTCGCCGGGCAGCCTGCACCGACGGTAGGGCTCTTTATTCAACGATACTGAGGACTCGACATCTAAGGAAATTATCTCGTTTTACAGGTTCAGTGGTACAAAGACGGTGTTTCTGTTCGGGGAAACTCAGACTATGTTACTGCGAGTCAACCACTCGAAGACGGTAGCTCTGAGCAGAAGCTCACCATAGAAGAGACGTTGGCAGATGATTCAGCGAAGTTCACTTGCAAAGCTATCAATGCTGCTGGAATGGCTGAAACATCGTGTCGCCTGAGTGTTCGAGGTAAGCGAGCCCCTTCATGAGCTTTAGAAAACATGCTGACTTTGTTTATCTTTTCTTTCAGAGCAACCTAGACAGCAAGAACTTGAGGAGGTGTTCATTGAAGCCCTCGAACAGTCGGTCGAGACCGGAACATTTCAGGAACCAACCTTCGTTAAACCACTGCCTGCCACTGCCCGGTTTCGCCCTGGGGACCAACTTCGTCTTGAATGCCGTGTAGAAGGACAACCCGAGCCACGAGTGTCATGGTCGAAAGATTTGTTGCCTGTTCGGGACGCCGCCAAGGTTAGCAGAGTTGAAAGTGCCGTGCAGGAAAGAGAACAGTCTTTCATTTCAGTCTTCCCTGGAGAAAGGCACAGCGGTGTTGGTCCTCAACGATGCCGTGCAAAGTGACTCTGGTACCTACACGGCAGTGGCCCAGAACAAAGCTGGTCAGACAGCCTGTTCTTCGCAGGTCAAGGTCGCGGAGTAAGTGTAATCTGCAGTGTCACGCATTTCCGTCGCCTTGACAACCGTCTCGCTTCTGCAGAGACGTTCCACCTGCGGAGCCTCCGCGTGTGCTGAAGGGGCTAGTGGACCTAGAAGTCAAGCCCGGACCGGAGCCAGTCACTCTCGAGTGTATCATCGTGGGAGAGCCTGAACCGGAAGTATGCGACCATTCCTCCCGGTAAGACATCTCGAGCAATATAAAGTCCACTTCCGGCACAGGTGATCTGGTACCATGACGACCAGCCGATCAAGGAGTCCGAGCGAGTGCGACTACTTTTTCAAGGCGACAAGTGCTCCCTGGTGCTGAATGGAGTTTCAGCTCAAAATGCAGGCACCTACCGCTGCTCAGCGGTCAACACCATGGGCAGCTGCTTCACGCAGTGCCGCCTCCGTGTGCCACTAGCCGCTCCGGTGTTCTTGGAGCCTCTTCGCGATGTGAACGTTGCCGAAGGCGCCAGGGTTGATCTCAGTGCCAAGTTGTGGGCCCCTGAGCCGCCTTTTGTCCGTTGGTTCAAGGACGGCAACGAAGTGGTGCCCGGCAGTGACTATCAGGTGCGCTGCCTTTCGATTTGTTTCTGATTTGCTCGTCTGCAACAGATGCTTCTCGGATGCAGATCAAGCACGACACGGACGGTGCAGTCAGGCTCACCATTCCCGAAGCGTTCAACGAAGATGGCGGCCACTACGAGCTGGAAGCGAGCAACGCTGGAGGCCGCACGCGCACTGGCTGTCGGGTTCACGTGGAACGCGTGGAGGTGCGTTATTGGATTCATATTTCCACTGGTGCAGCATTTGTAGTGCTGAATGATCATAAGATTCATAGGCTTTGTTTGTATTGTATTTCTTTTGCCATTTTATTTCGGGGCGACGGGGACAAAGGGTGTAAATAAAACACCTGACCCGGGTCCCGGGTGTTTGAAAGGTTGCGCTATATTATAAGAACCTAGCTATTACTGCAAGCTCGAATATTGGATTAGAAAAATACTATAGTTTGTTGCAGCATTTTTACTGCAGGAGAGGTTCCGAATTTCCAGAGAGAAGTGGCGTCATTACGCCACCCACCACGAACGCACTACTATTGTTCTGACATCACGAAAAATGAGGAGCATGGTGCTGGCGGCGGGGGTGGTAGTGGTGTGTGTGGTCAGCAAGCAGGGGACGTAGTTTAAAGCTACTGCTGGAAATCGGCCCATCCGTGTCACTCAACGACAAACACAGAAAGGTGTGGACCCGTTAGTGCCCTTTGATTTACGAGAGGCGCCCAAAAAAGCTACACTTGCTGCCGTTCAGTGTCCCTCGAAGCACTGGGCCGGCGTTGATTGGAGCGTTGCTTCCTGTGGGCTCAGAGCCTCTTCCGCAGTTCGTGTGTCGCAAGAGACAAAAAAAAAATTACGTTGGTTCCCAATTATATAAAAAAGAAGTTAGGACTTGACGAGACACTGACTCCCGCGTGAAGCAGTGTTACTCACAATTAGGAACATTTGCAGTTTCAGAAAAGCTAACTCCAGTGAGGTCATGAACAGGCAACCTAAACAAATGATGATTCGGAAAAGAAGGAAAACGATTGGACCGAATAATGAGACTTTCGCTGGGTCACCGATCACGACAAGTCATGCCCATTGATCCACTAAAAAAAACAACAAAAAAACAACTTTATCGGAATTTTTTTTTTTTTTTTTTGTCTTAGCCTCGCCATTTACTGAGCTCCTCTGAATACCGCAGTGATTTGTTCTCAACGCACAACGGGAAGATGTTGACGCGCGGGCAATCCTCAAGGCAGGTTCAGACATTTGCGATAAAGCGTGGCCGACTACGTTAGGACCGCCTATGATTTCCTACGACGAAATGGCTGCTATGGCAACCGAGGTCCGCGCTACGCGTCGTAGTGGAACACAGGGAGTCGTAACACACTCGACCACATTTACGCAAATGTCTGGACCAGCCTTTAGAGTGGTCCAGACATTATATATATATATATATATATATATATATATTATATCGACGTACCGCGTATTGTAACCTGAACTTTGCAGTCTTTCTAATATACCGGATGTTGCACCAACGATTGAGAATAGGGCAAAATATTAAAACTTTTTGCTTCCGTGTCTCCGGTTCGATTATGTTGCCTAATATTCAGCAGATCATCTGCGTCCTCAATCTTTCGACTGAGAATAAATAAAAAAAATGAGGTCACTTGAAAAAAAAATGCTGCCTTCGATAAAACGTTGTCGACCGTGGTGCCGAGGTCAGGGTATGAACAAGAAGTGATAATTAACAATCATATTACATAAAATGCACTACTTAACCTTTTTTTACACAGACACCTTATCTGGCACAATCTTATTCAAGCTTTGTTCCCCGTCGTCCAAATACGCGAGAAGTCTGAAAACTAAATTCTTAATCGCGTTTTTCAATGGCAAAGTTAGGGCATCTGCAGTACGCCATATGGAACTTGAGGGAAAGAAAATGTCTAACGCTGCCCTCCCGAGGGGACATCAGACTGTACCGCGCCTCTTCTACGACCACGTGACCCTCAGATACTGCGGCGCTGTCGTTCGGCTCGAGATGACTCGCTACCTGCGCCCGCTACGCGGGCTGACGTTGCTTCCTGGTGGAACTTCCGTCGCTCTTTTGTATGCCAGTTTCGTTATCTCAGTCTCCTCGCGGCTTAAATTTGCACGAGAATAGCGTGGACCAGAATTTAGTTGTCTGAATTTTAACAACCAGGGCACATTTTGACGACCGACATTAAATCTCCAAGTGTAATGCGAATATTTCAAAAAGGTAAATAATGTATTTTAGGCAAATAATTTGCTGATTATCAATTTATACTCGTAACCTGACATCCGCCACGGTCGATAATGTTATCGCGATAGAAAAGTTTATTTATTTAAAATGCCTTTTTTAAATATCATTTCAGTCGCTGGTGAAATACCTTGTGCACCTACGTAAAATGCTGCATGCTACGCATTGTCGCTGGGGAGCTTGCTTGCTCGTGAGGGAAATGGTCGTGCTATCAATTAAAGGTACGGGATATAATATTGTGTAGAAACCATGACGATATGAACTAGTGATCGATTTAATTTAATAAATCAACAAACGCAAAATTGTGTGGGCAGAAAAAGCTATTCGTCTCTATGTTAAGTTTCGGTTACTTTTGATCGAGTTATCCCCCTGAATGGCTATGGACTAGCTCGCATGCTTATTATCTTGCAGACCATTTTCTCGGGATCGACTTCTCATAAAGTTCTGGCGTGGTCGAAGGTGGGAGAAAATACCAAATTGCTTTATTCCCAATCGGAAAGCTCTAGACTTCCAGACGTTCGTACCGCTACTTCAAGTTTGTTTTCTACAATCATTTTTTTATTTATTTTTGTTTTATTGAGCTATTAAAAAAAAATAGTAGTCATCCAACCCCTCATGGGTTTAAAGCTGTACCTGAAACACTAGAAAAAAAACACACACACACACAAAAAACAAAACAAAAAACGTACTGTGCTCCGAGCGAAGTTGAGGAAAACCTCATCAATGCATGACACACAGACGTGCTAGAGGCAAGCGAGCCGGCGCTGAATGTTAGCAGCCTGAAGACTAGAAGCTCGCGTCCGGATATTCTACACACCTTTCATAGGTTTTCTTGCGACGGACAAAATGCCGGAGGAGACATAGACATGCTGTAAGAACTTGCAAGGATGGGGCACCAGCCGGGACGCCATGCTGTGTTGCCTACATCCGTAGTTGGTGACAAGATTAACAAGCGCGTGCCTCCAGCACGCGCTTGTTAGGTTTCGCCCAGCGAAGTAGAGAGGCTTAGAGCGATAAACTTGCAGCTGAACGTGACCCCCAATCGGCCGCCGCTATGTCTCACACTCTTGACCACTGGACACGTGACCGTATAGTTTTACGCCTAGATATTAGTGAGGTACCGCGCACAAATAATTCCTTATTGATTTTTAATAACAGTTCCGACGAGATAAGTTATGTATCGTTTGTTTTAAGTCCAAAATCTCCTTTTACGACAAAAACTCGGGAAGCTTCACAATGCCTCCGCTAGATGCCGTCAGCCGAGGTGCTGTATTTTGAGTTTTTATTGGAGCTAGACACTGATCTTTGGGGCTAACAGTATTAAAAAAAAAAAGGCTTTTTACAGCGATCGCAATACCAATCTCGGCTCAGTTTTGTGTACAAGCCTCAGGATTTGGTACGGTCAGGCGTCTATACTCCGCGACAACTTTTCTTGGCAATGCAGTGGAAGGTACAGGCCCGCGTCCCCTCTCCCATTTTGAGTGTACGCAGGCTCTCCTCCTCCCCCATTTGCGGGGAGAGGAGGAGAGCCCGCGCACACTCAAAATGGGAGAGGGGACGCGGGCCTGTACCTTCCACTGCATTGCCAAGAAAAGTTGTCGCGGAGTATAGTGGTCAAAATTCTAGAACAAGGCGGCAGCCAGGTGGGGGTAATTTTTGCCAAGTAAACGGGATACCAGTTTAGCGCTCTGAGCACCTCTACCTCGTCGGTTCTGCCGGGCTTTTTCTGCGCGTGTGACGTTGTGTTATCGAAGGCGGAAAGCTGGCGCTCGAGGCAGAGCATCTACTGGGTTCTTGATCTGTCATCGAACGAATTCGCTCTTTCTCGCGTGAGTTGAAACGTGGTGGCGCCATTGTGCAAATTGCCCTTAACCACTTCCGGTCCTGAACTAGACGGCGGGTTTCGCAGTATTTTCGAAATCAAATATACACGCTATCTTCTGGAAATACACTGTCACATTTAATCCATTCTTATGATAAAAGAATGACGAGTCAAAATTTAGGAAATATACGTGAACCGGAAGTGTGCCGGAAGTGTTCACGTATATTTCCTAAATTTAGCCAATAGATGGCTCTACTGAGTTTGCTGAAAAAAAAAAAAAAGGGCGAATAGAGTTCATGAAATGGTAAAAAATGAATTAACCTTTACGCACAAAATTGTTATATTATTGATTTCAAAGAGGAGGTTAAGGTGCAGGGTCTCGAGGATGATTTGAGATAGTGCTTCGAAGGTCTATTGTACCACAACCATGACTGTACATGCTCAGACATATCAGCATTTATACTGCGTCGTGGCGCACTCGTAACACCAATAATTGATCTTCCCTTGGTGGTCACCACTGTGAAAGAAACACATTTAGGTGGAGTCACTCGCCGTTCTTCCCGCGGGGAGCGAACGAATAGATCGTGTTCGTAGCTAGCCTCGAACCAGGAGTAGTTAGTTTCGCGACGCCGCGGTGGGCGCTGCGGTATGGGGTCCCTCCTCGGCGGCCACGGTGTCGGCAGTGTAGCGTGCTCGCCTTTTTCTCGGTGTGGTGGTGTAGTGGTGGTGTGGGGCCAGTGGCTAGCCTCGTGTTTTGCTTTGGTGCTGTGTCGATCACAGGTGCCACCTTCCTGCACGAAGGTGAGCCTTAACCCGAAGAAGAAGCCATTCTATAAGGATTGGAAAGGAGTACTTCGTTCCCAAGTGCGATTCGGGGTACCGGAACTGTTTAGAGCGAGTGCACTTGTTTAAAGCTCCATCGAATGACGTTCGCTTTGAGCAGTGGTAGAAGAAACACGGCTTGGGAGGGACCCCATACTTGGGCGCAATCTATCCCCGTGCGAGTGAAGCCTGGAGCACGGTGGAAGAAACACGGTTTGGGAGAGACCCCATACTTGGGCGCCATCTATCCCCGTGCGAGTGAAGCGCGCTCAGTGCCCGAACATAACGTGGCCGGCGCGTCGGACCCAGAGTCATCACCTAAATATGTTTCTTCCACCGTGGTGGTCGCACACTTCACTGGCTAAAGGGTGGACATTTTGTTTCCACCAAGACTGGAGTACGATGCCTTTCGTTCAACGGACTGGCTAAGCTATTGAGAGGAAAAAATGACTGACTTTGCGAGTGCTTCGCGAGCCGCATACACACAAGGGCATTGCTTAAAGTGGGGCATTGAAACATCGTCGCCAATGGGTAGTGATGGATCATTCTCCCTTCCAGAAAGCCAAGGCGGTGCCGCTGACGCTGGTCAAGACGGCGCCCCAAGTCATCTCAGTTGACGGGAGGGGACACGACGTGCGCCTGGCCCGCTCGTTGCCCGCGGAGCTGGTGGTCCAGAGCGGCACCAAGGTGTGCTTGAGTGTTGCTGCCGCCCAGCCGCCAGGCACGTCGCTGGATGCGACCTGGTTCCGGTCGGGCCAAGCCATCAGTGACTCTCCAGACTTCCGACTCTCCCGATCGCACGAGTCCGTGGCCGGATCCTCGCTGGCAGTCTTCAGTCTCACAATCTCGGAAGCCTTCCCGGAAGACTCTGGAGATCTGCAAGTGCGGGTGCAGGGGCCCGGAGGCACCGTGACAGCCAACACGCGTCTGGTGGTTCTGGACGAGGACGACGACGGCAGTGGCGCCGAGGCACGCGAGGAAGCCCTCCACAGGGCTCGCGAGGTGAAGGTCTACGAAACGAAGCTCGCTCGATCGGAGCCCGACAATTCGGCGGGTGTGGCCCTCTCCGGAGACCTGCAGCTGAGGGTCACCGAGGTGACACAGGTGAACGAGATGCCTCCCGAGGTGTCCGAGGAAATCACCACCAAAGTCGTGGACCAACAGGGCGCTCGCGACAAGGTCACGGAAGAGGTGACCCGGCGGGTGACCAAGAGGGTGACCGAGATTACCAAGACGCAAACCAAAGAGGTGAGGGGACCCCTGGTCTACAAGTGGGAGTTTCGCAAGTAGCAGTCCCCCTGTGCCACCGCGCGCGCCCCGCGGTGTCTCCGTCGTGTGCTTCTTCTCTTACTCGGCGTGGCTGGCATGAAGACATTGGCCCCAGAGTGCTTTTCTGGCTCACCTCCTCTCGGAGTGGCCACCTGTGCGACTGGCCACCTGTCTCTTTGCCTGGCTACCGCTGGGAATGGAGTCCCTTCCTCCCCTTTCTCCTCAGTGTTTCATGTGGCATGCTCGTACAAATGTCTGCAACAGCGACGTTTCTTCCCAGTTGTAAGGTTGACGTGAAATAAAGCCCTGGTTTGTGTTCCATGTGTGTTGCATGTGGTTTCCTTCCCACCCAAAAAGAAAGTGAGCATCTTGATGATAATCTATTGGCTGTTCTGTCGGTTCGGTTTGCTGTACACCGGTCAGCTGCTAAGTCAGTGTCTGACACTACTGCTGCTTTCGTTGTGCATAGATGTCTATGATTATAGACAACTAAAAGGGGAACTTAGTCAGTGTTTGGACTATCTCTACTAGCTTGAAGACCCAAATCATTACATCAATACTTTTGTCAAGGTTACAGAATTTAATAACTACTGCGTTCTCTTTTTCGCACTGATAAAACTGACGTCAAAGAAAGGGCCGTACTTGGCATGACGCCAGCGTGGCTTACTGCCAGCTCATAACGGCACGTTCGATGGTGTCAAAAGAATGTCGTCGAAGCTCGCTATCAGCACGTTCTCTAAAGCTCTGTATAGTGCACGTGCCTGTCTGCCTGCCAGTCGATCTTTCCTTGACGTCGTCAAAGAGGTAGCCGAAGGTGACGAAACATCACAATGGAACCCAAAATTCTGACTTTTTTATCGAGGTGCACCCCAAGTTTCTAAACGACCACAGCTAATTTCTAAAAAAAAAAAAAAAAAAAAAAAAACTTTAGTTAAGGGCGTATAAAAACACGGTTGGTAGAGTCACATATTCGAATAAGTTTCCTTGAATATTGACGTATGTTTTAGTTCCTCAGGCAACGTTGGTAGAATCCCTGAATTAACAAGTACGTAGGTGAATTCGGTGTCTTCCTAGCTGTTTGCTGACTTTCGGGATTGCACAGGCTGCAAGAGAGTTACCACCAAGCATTATTTTACTGACGAAACATTCTGTAGAGCTACTTATACTCCAACGTCACGTCAATGAGGACAAGCCGGCGTCGGTATTGTGCTATCACATTGGCTGAGGAGCACAAGCAGACCAACCAATGACTTCAGCAGGAACTGACTATCAGAACAAGGTGAACTTGTGGAAATTTATCATGATGTAAATTTAACGTGAATGGGTTAAGAAAAAACAACAAAAAACTTCGTCCTGTCTACTTTTGAACCTTTTCATTTTAGTTACCCCAGTATAATGTAAACAAACATAATAACAAACTTAAGCTGGAATGTAAATAGCGCCAATGAGAACATTCTGAAAGCATAAAACCGCACGAAAAATCGACTCTTGCTTGCTCAGGCGCAAATTTGGTGCCCTAGCGTGAGCCGGTGTTTCCAAAGAACTGCGGCGGGCTTGCCGAAGCGGACACGTGTCCGTAAGTAGCGAAAGTATGCAGGCCGAGCTGGTTAGGAAACATCATAATCTAAACCCTGAGACTGTAATTTCTCCATGTTTCAGGGTTTAGATTATGACGTGTCCGTCTCCGTTGCAGTTGAGCAGCAGCCGGGCGACCCGCGCGGGGCCTCTGGGTCGCGTGGAGCCCATTCCCATGGCCAAGGTCCCGGAAGCAGACATCTTGGAGCCAACGTACGAAGCTGCAGATTTCCCACTCTTCGGAAGCAGCTACACATTGGAGCCCATCCGGGTGCCAGAGAGGCCCTCGTTGTTCGAGCCGCTGTCGGTTCGCACCAGCTTCTGTCTAGAGACGGGCCAGTTCCAGAGTCCGAGGTCCATCATTCGCACCAAGACAGCTAGTCCCGTCTGGAGTCCCAAGAAGAAGGCAGTTGTCATTGCTGAGAATCCGGCAACTGGACTGCGTGTCTCGCCTCCCGTCTTCCTTCAGGTGGGTGCCAATTGGCGCACTGAGAAAATGGCACGGGACCAAACAGGAAAATGAGCGCGGAAGACCCGGGGCGCCCCGCTTGGTGTCACGCCGCAGTTGGCGCACGAGTAGCCTCTGGCGGCCCAAGGCTTGCTCAGCTCACGTGCCACCCGATGCCGGAGGTGCCGGGCGCACTACGCAGCGCAGCGATGAGCTAACCTGATATTACGCACGTCAATAAACGAGTACAAAGAAGGTCGCGGAAGCGATGCGAGGACAGCTGTCCGAACGCCTGCGCTGCATGTGCAGGCCCCCGAGGACGTTTCCGTGCCTGAAGGCTTGCCCGCGACGCTGCGCGCGTTGGTGACTGGCTGTCCACCTCCGCGGCTGCGCTGGTTCAAGGACGGTCGGAGGGTGCAGGGCCCAGACCACGAAGTGGGCCAGCCGTCTGGGCCGGCCCCGTGGAGCGCTTGGCTGCGCATTCCGGAGGCTTTTCCGGAGGACTCCGGAGTGTACGTGTGCACGGCCTCCAACCTGGTGGGCAACACGAGCGCCTGCTGCAGGCTTGCCGTCTTGGGTCAGTCTTCAGTCAAGGGCGGCCTATTCCTGGAGCCTGTGTCATTGCGGGCGACTTAATGCGCATTTTGCCTCTTTGCTGAAAAAAGTGTTTGAGAGAGGCCGGTAGCGGCGCGGCGGATTTTTTCGTGCCCATGAGATTGCGTAGGGTTAGGACGGCGGTCCCCGATGATGCGACTAATTGTCAATCGCGTCCGAAATGCGCCGAAAATAAGCGCGCGCTAAACAGCGGCCGAAACCCTAGAGAATCTGGACCAGAAAATACGGCAGCCCCCAAAAATGCGCTTCCAAAAATGGCGGCGGCGTAAGCTTACACCTAGGCAAAAATAGCCGCGAAGGGGGCGCTCTTCGCGTCATTTCCTGCGCCGAGCGCATGCGTCGAGACTCGGGAACGTCGCTCTTGCTAATTCGGGACCAGTGTCTGGAGATGCCTCTCCGGGCTTGACGTTCTCTAGACTCCGACTCGAAACGGTAAGTCGCCCCCGTGGTCCTTCTTAAAACCCACCGCGGAGACCGACTCCAAGCGAAGCCAAAACCGTTGGCCTTGCTTCGAGTCTCGCTCAGAGCGCGCACTGCGTTGTACCAACCAGAACCTCTCTGCCGCGTACCCCTTTGCGAGTGCACGAACCACCGAGTGTCTTCCCCAGCCGTCCGCCTGCCGCGTCCCTCCTTCTTCCCATCTCACGGGCACTCTTGTCCGCTTGCTTTGCAGAAACCGGGATGGTGGTGCAGCCGCCCCACACGTGAGTCCCCTTTCCGATGCCTATCTGCCTCATGGCTTGACACATGCCCTTGGTCCCATGTGGCTATCGGTCTGGCTGCACGTCCCACCTGGATGCCTCCTGGGTGGGACCTTCGGCTGACACCGACTCAAGCCTCGTAGGGCACCTCTGTAGCTACGCCTTTTATTTTGCTTGATTATTCGGTCATGTTTGTGGCAATCAACCGAGTACCGTGCTCTTAGACGTTTTTCATCAGGGCTTCTAAGAGCACGGTCCGAGTCAAATGGCCTACTTTAAATTTTCTCGGTGTAACAGCGCGGATCAGTGCACTGACTAGTAAAGCGGCTCTCGATAATTTGTTCAGTAAACCAGCCTCGCGATGTTTCGTATAGTTTTGAGATCATGCATCCATACATGTTGTTCAGGTACATCCGTCCCGCCATCCTGCAGCACTGGCAGCTCAGCAATGCAAAATGAGCAGTTACTCCAATTGTTGTATGCGGGTAGACCTGTCAGTGACACCTAGTTTATATCACGTTGTTCCAATCGATGATTATCTTTCCAGGGTCAAACTGTCAATTGGATACCATTTCCTCTTCACCATCATTCATCGTGTGTGCGTTCCTGCGAGTGTAGTGCGAACTTGTATGTTGCTGTGCGCGGTTGAAGCTATAGTCAGTTTCCAAACTATCTGTGGTCCAGGATGATGTCAGTACCTTCACGACTAAGTCATCTCTTTTTCTGTGAAGATATGCGCTTGTTGTTTAAAAAAAAACGAATGAACCCTTCACTGCAAATGGATAACCCTCCTTGCGTTGAAAAAAAGAAAAACAAAAGTGTCAGTTGCACAGTTCCGCTCAACAGTTCCGCTCAGCCGTTCCGTTTTCGTCTGGTGACGTCAGCGGTTATCCAATGTCGTGCCAGAAATAATCTTTTGACACTTTTAAGAGAAATCTTTCATAGTGAAACGAAAGCTCATGAGTCATGATTAATCATCTTCTATTCTGAACTTCTGGCTAAGCCCTTTTGCAAAACTCGTGGGCACTTCGTTTATTACGACTGATTTTAATACCGGAGTTCTTCAGAAAATATTACGTCACTTGAAATAATGTTTGGAACAGTGAAAAATATGTCTCGCATTATCTAAGAAAACTATATAGCAATCAAAATTTATTAATATGACATTGCACTAGTAGATATACTTTGATTGATGCGCACTGGTGGATTTGTAATATGTTGTGTTCAGTTAGGAAGGAGTCACCCCTCAAAAAGTTTTTTTCTGAGGTGAGCATTTTTTTTTTCATTTGACAGGAATATTTTTTTACAAAATTAAGTGACTTGTCTTATGATTATAGTGTATCATATTCAAGCTGAAAATAAGAGCTAAAAGAAAAACCACACTGGAGGAGGTTAAGCTTTAGATATGACGTTCGGAATTCAGCTCTTTCGCAGTCATTAACGAAGCTACGTCGATTATGAACGTCAGAGGTCATAATTCTGAGGCTCCCTCAAGGGTTTTCCTTCTTTAGTTCATTGTGTTACATAATAATAGAATGTCGATGTACTCGAGTATCTAAAGTAGGTTCATTTTGGTAACTTTTTCAGTTGGTAGAGATGACTCGATATCGTATTGTAGACTCTGTAGAATTATTTTAATCCTGACAAGTAATAGCCAAGTGAAACCAACGTTAAATCTTTGAACATGTTAGTAGTCTCGGACAAGGCATTTACGCCAGCGTCTAGGTAGATTACTTTCAAAGTTTCCCCGTCGAACTTCAGGTCACAAAGTTAGTGAGGGTATAAGGCCTGCTTCAAACTTTTAACCGTCGTTCCTATACCGGGATTTTGCTGATGTTTCCATGGCAATTATACGGGTCAAAGAGCGAAATAAGGGATTATTAAACAGTTTTTGAAGATCCTTTCCAAAGGCCCGCTACCGCTACGGGCGCGTACTTCAGTGCATGCACCGAAGTGACAGCGCGAGCTCCCGTTACAAAGGCGGTGGCCTGAAAACACGATCTACTAAACCTCTCTACTACTTGCATGGAGCGGAATGGGTGCCTCCGCTGTTCAGTGCGACTCGCTTTTCATTCGAAGTATGATTTGTTTGCGAACTGGCGAACACATATTACAGTGCTTCGCGGTTAGTTCAAACATCTACATGCTACGGTGTAGGCGTGTGTTATACCTATGCTTTTAGGTTGAACGTTTTGGAGAAAGTGATAAGGAACGAAGTAGTCACGGAATGGCATTGTGGACTTTCTAGGTATCTGCGTACCATTCGCAGTATTTGTATTATTGCTTGCAAGAGCGACAGTTGCTTAATTTTATTGCAATGTAAACATTTCTTATATTCATGAGTTGAACATCTGAGAGATCCTTTTCGCAACATTTTAGTTTTTAATTCCGTAATTAAAAAAACCGCACGTCGTGCTCCTAATTTATTACCAGTAATACTTTTTAAATGTTGAGTTGTCGATGGTAGCTGCCACGCACCTTAATTGATTACTATAGGCCTTGGGATTCGATCGTCACGTCCGCTGCGGCAGAGGGTAACTATGTGCATTTTTCTTCCGCTTTATACTCGGTTCACCTTACAGGGAAGTAAAGACTACAGTCACGAGATGGCGGCCTTGAAACACGCATTTGCGGATCGAGTGCTTACGCTATAGAAAGATATTTCAAACCGAATAAGTATGGTATTGGTATAGCACGCGCTTTTCGCCGTCGCTACCCTGTCAGCTTACCGCGCGAGACTGGAACCTGCTCCTAAAGCGATCACCTCCCAGACCTGGGCCAGTGTCACCAGCAGTGTCACCTCACTGTCCACACAGAAAACAGTATAGACAAAAGCACGTGTTCCCACTGATGGATAATTGGATGTGTACCGCTGAACCCTTGAAATCGAAGGGCGGCTTGTGCCACTGAGTCGCAGCGCAGCCTTTAGGTCGATCGGAGTTGAATACTCCCATCTCAAAAGTTATTTGGGGCGTTGTGGGAGGCACGGGCGTGTCAGGACATGGCGTTGAAATATGTTTTCTTTGCGCGAATACCCGTGAAAAACAAACGTATGTCAGAACCACACTTTCGTTACTGCATTTTGAATAGCGCAGCACACCACGTTCGAGGTAAACTCGAGGTTATGCACGCACGCACCTGTCTTGGGGATGCTGACATGAGGTCATTTTGTGGCGCGATGCTTCTTTTTGTTTTCTGTGGCACGTGAGAGATCGTCTCTCGGCCTGTACCTTTCAGCTTCGTCCAGTGCGATGGCGTCTCCTCAGTGCACGCTACTTCTTTGTATTTCTCCTGCGATCGCGTTTTGACCGGGTATTGGGCACTGTAATTGAGAGTGGCACCATCCTAAGAACAATAATGTCGAGGCACCCTACTCGAGTATATGTGGCATAACATCTCGTGAAAGCAATGGACGAAGAGTGGGAGAATGCTCAACCAAAGTGCTTTATGGATGCTTATAGGAGTCACTCAATGAGCTATCGACATTATTATGAAGCGTAGTCCCTAAGCAAAGTACATTTTGGTAAACAACGCGTTCTAACTTCGTGTTTTAAGTAATTATTTCGATAGGGAAAACACAGCTTCTTCGCTTCAGTCTCCTCATCGCCCAATAGGTATTTAATTTAAAACTATTTTTTTTCGACAAAAAATAAATGCATTTCACTCTAATTCATGTTCATTTAGTTCCCATTTTCAGCTCATAAAGAAAACCAACATTTTGCCGGGTTTAATATTTTAGCTGCATTTTAAATGGTCTGGAGGTAACGCAGTTCGCTTCTGCTTCTAAAATATAAACCCTTTAGATTCAAAGTAAAATTAACGTGTTGACATACAAAATGCATATGAGTGACAAAAAGAGAAGTGACTTTTCTTCAGCAATACCTTTCATAGTCCTTGAGAACCAACTAATTTTGAAGAATAACGAGATCACAATAGGAATTAAGCGGTTACCGTACTATATATGAAACATGCGTTCTAAGATTTTTTTTCCTTTTTTTTTAGTTTTTTATGTTTTTTCAACACTTTTCAAAGTAGCGAAAACCTCTTCCGTACTTGTGTTGAATAATTCTGTCACGGACCACAAATGAGTTCAAATACCCAGATAATTTCTGCAGAGCTAATCTCACCTGGATATCACTAGGCATTTATGCTATCGCTCCTTGAACTTTCTGAAGTATGCTGTAACGTCTTGGGAGGAAGCACGCCACCAGGCGCTCCCACAGGTGGCCCATCTGTTGCGCCTCAGGTGTATACTCTTACAAAAAATGTCAATGAGTTTCAGTTAGGTTTCTGATGTACTCTATAAGAATATATTAGAAATTCAATTGGAAACTCATTGATAATTTTTATAAGGGAACGAAAAGTGAACGACTTCTAGGGCAGAAGCCAACAATTAAAAAAATATATATATATAAAAAAAAACATGGGTTTTCATCTAAGTAGGAAAGTTAAACACCTACACTCTAAAAAAATTCCGTTCTTGAATGGCTCTTGGACACCCGAAGATCTCTTTCAGCTGATGAAGAACGGTTACGCCTAAAGCACTATCGTCACCTGACTCCCTAGAAAGGCAGCTGTGACATGAAGATCCATTTCGCATAAAAAAAAGGAGCTTAAATAGACCCCTTATAGTTTTTTTCACGAAGAACCCTTTTGGGGGGTGCTTAACCGACCTTTTTAGGGTGCAAAATATGGACAAGCAGAATAACTCTTAAGAGTTCTTTTACTACCAGATTTTTTATAGGGTATAGTTTAGCTTCGAGAAACCCCCCTAGAAGCCGCTGTCACGTCGGTCTCGGTTGCAAACTAAAGAAAGCCATATTAGGCATTTCGCTAGCGCAGGAGGCAAAACGTTCGAGTCGCGGACTAATAGCGATAAGAACAAACTGGATTGCTAAATCAGCATGCGTTTCTTCTGCCGCCGCCGACACCATCTGATGCTGCCTGTCTGATTGCGTTTGGCCGCAGCTTGTCACTGTATGCGGAGCGCAAGTTGGTCTGCT